CCATATTCGTCCTGTGCAACTGAACTGAACTGAACTGAACTGACTGACTGACTGACTGACCTGACCTCAAAGCTTCAAGGTTGCGAGTGGCGCCCGTTTTCGCTGTTTTCACGCTGCACGCTGAACAACCGACATGAATCACAAGCGGTCGGATGAGATACCTGTGCGACGTATTCGCATTTCCGATCCATCTCAAATTCCTTCGAATGTGGGGTATGTTATTCTTTCGACAATATCTGTGCAAATTTACCAATATGAAATTCACTTCGCAATTAATGTGCTTTTATTTAACTCCGGGAGTGTCTTGTTACACGTTCACTGAAGAAGCTCTATCATGCTGTGTACATTCTAGTTCCCAGGAACTCTCAGACGGCCGTTCGGTTCTTGGGAATATAAAAGTATAGCATAATTATGCTGTAAAAGGTGGAATAATCCACCATGCTCATCGATGACCCTGGCGAGAAAGGGATCCCTCTCACGCCGTCACCGTGAACGTGCAGTGTTCCCGAAGTAGTCTTCCACATCTTGGAGTAATAAGAGATTGCTCCTTAGGCCTATGGAACCCTAGGTTGTAAACATGGTCGACCGATTGGGAAGAGGTAGGTTCTCTCAGGCTTTTGCAAGCTTCAGTGGAATTCCGCTACTTGTGGATGTGGGTCTCGGAGGTAGGAACAGGAGATACTTTTCCACGTTCATTGCATCCATTCTCATAGGACCAACCTGCGAACGGTGTTCTGACGCTTTTATTTTTCCAATTCCCGTCTCGCATGTATTTAGATATCGGACAATTTTATACTACTATCTCGTCTCACTTAATTTTTATCTTACGATGATTTAGTGAAAGACGAATTTCACGCACTTGGTGTTCAGCTCAGGTTTGCTTTTACAATCGATATCCACTCACTTGCCTGCAACAGTTTTGCTGCGGCCCTTTGAATAACATTTTCATGGATTACAAAAAAGATGGGAGTGTTCTAATTATTGTTTTGACGAAAATAGAAAATCCATGAAGACAGTTTCCCAGAACAAAATGGACGAGTGCCACTAGTCACGACACTTGAATCACTGCGGTGGGCTCCCTGGAAAAGAGAGAAAGGTAATCGGGCTCTCTGTTGACCATGGAAGTTCGGTACAAGGGTCCCCAGCGTCGGCGTTCTGTCCTGAGGTCAACAGTGTTAAATCGTCGCCGATAGCCCCGTGCTCATTCCCCATCCGATACATGTAGTTGCAACGTAGGGCCATGCTCTCTGCTAGTCAAGCAAGCTTATTTCGTACACGTCGCATCAGATAGTGGATGTTTGTCGATCAAATAATGGCTCTTCGCAACCGTATGCCGGTTTTCACATCTCGTATACCCCCAACCTATCGAGCGGTTTTCCGGGATGTGACCGCTGTTGAATGTCTCAGCTTCATAGTCGGAGTGAGGGTTGAATACAAGGTCGAACAGGAATAAGATACCTCCATGGAAACATGACAATCCATCCACTCAAAGATGCTACTCCTACCAAGCACCGCATACATCCCCATCATCTCGGCACCGTTGATTACGTTTATCTCGATTTCCTTCCTAGGATACCTCATGCAACAGACGTGATCATGTTTCCTGAGCAGAGCTTTCATAATTTCATTCCAGGTCTTAGTTTGGCCACCTTTGTCCTACCCGTTATCTACTCCGACAAACAACGCACGTCGTAACAATCAACTTAGTGACACGCTTAGCACATACCACAATCGACTTAACCTACAGAAATCAATCACTTACTTCAGTTGTTTGCCGCATTTACCTACTCCTACGTTTGATCTCAGCATCGTTTGTCCGGTTTGCTCCAGTAGATTTCTGCAAAACGACGGAGTTCAAACGCTGACAGTTCATCTTTATCCTACTTCCGTTCTGACCAGATGCATGTGCCGTAGAGCAGTACCAGGCGAACTGCTGCAATATTGGCGCGACTCGTCACAGCCGAAGATCACGACGGAACCATAAGTTTCTAACTTCGGTTTAAAGCCAGACTGTGTGCCAAATCAAATACTGCAATGATCTTTATATGAAACAAAAAAGGCCATGATATGCGCGAGGGCACGGTACTGCTAGGTTATCCAGGCCCAACCAGATGGACTTTATTACTTACTTCGATGACCAACGATGATAGCACATAAAAGGAGATACTGTCCGCATTTCCAAAGCTCAAGCAGCGACCGCAGAACTAAAACACTGGCGATGTCGTGAGGTTTCATTGATGTTGTAAAGTCGTTTATACTGCTCCACTACGATCAATTCTTATCTACGATTGTGAGAATTTGCGGAAAGAAGATGCCTAGTGGTTTTCGACAGTCGACGGTTACGTAGTCTGGTATAGGTGGAACGGAGTAGTCGGGATAGTAACCTGTATGCAGATCGTCGGGTATTTGAGAATGCATCGAGCAAGAACTCGCTATCGCATCGAATTCAGCTCAGTAGACTCTGTTGGCTAGGGTATGTTTTGCGTATCTGACGGTCACCTGCTGCACCGCACCTTGTTTGTAGTAGCCGGCAGATACGGAGACGAGGCACGAAGAAATGCCCTATACGATTTGGTGAAGTAGGCGTCTCTTGTTTTACGGGTTGAGGTCTAAAAGACTCCATAACTGGATGGTTGGTAACACTGGAGATCATGGCAGCAAACCGACAGCCATGACGATCTTGCCACTTCTCATCAGGCAAGAATGGTTGAATTAGCTCACTTTCTTTTCACTTCCCTGAGAAAATACACTCAATCCCTATCCTCCTTACACATTATCGCTTACCTTGACGCTTATGAATTTGAAAGTAAAGTTGGCTTCACAATACAATGATATTTTTTGTATTACACACATTTGTGTGATGAGCAGCACACGGGGCGAACCCATAGTCACGAAGGCCTGCTGTTCCGTCTTGAAAACCGGTAACCTAAGCCTCGAGACTTGGGGTGGCGAGCCAAAGAAGGTCCCGATAGATTAGGCGTGGTATTTAACCCGACGATAGCAAAGCTGTACCACTAAAGTTGGGTGGCGATGGCGGGACTCGGACCATAGGGTCCAAAGCACGCCAGTGACAGCGACTAAACCACTGCGCCACCACCATCCATCCGGCACGTAAAAGTAGACACTTGACTAGAGCTGCAATTTGTCACGAAATTGAGTAAAATGACGGAGAACGGGCCCAGAAGATACTAAATTCGTAGTAGATCAAACACAAATAGAGAAGGAACCTTGTGTGATGGTCGAGTGACTGCAAGTTAGCCTAGAATGAACAATTGCAGGAAAGTTGTGATGTCCTGTAAACTAACAAAGTCTTCTGTCTGTGTGAGCGAGTGGAGGATGCGCAAATTACACCTGAAAAACAAATTGTGCTGCTCTTTCCAGTGTGTTTTACACCCTCTAAATGTAGTCGTGCTGCTACGCTATTTTTTAACTACCCCTACTTCGAAATTCGGTGGCCTAGAACTGTTTATGCTTGATTGTTTCTTCCAAGCCACGTACGTAAGGAAAGTAGCACACACGAACAATCTGCGCCTGGGCGTGGAATTGAGATTTTGTAGTCTAACGGTCGGGTGTTTTGTGAAACAGTGTAGTCAGTTATGCTCTTCAAGGGAAACCTTCAAATGGCATGAAGAAGACATCCATCGATCAATGGTTTTAAATAAGGTGCTACGGGTAGGCTAAACCTAATAAGTCCGAAGTCAGCCGTTATGTGCTTTAATAAAATAAGTGGTAGACTTCGCCGGTTGGGACACGTTTTGCACATCCCGGAATGTCATCTACCGTACAGCACTTCGTCCACAGTTGCCACTTCAGTATTGAAAAAGCTATAGAAAACCCCAGTTATATTGCAAGTGTATGAATGAAAGCCCTATATTCTATTGAATTAGCTGCTCGTGATGCTCTACTCTACTCCGTGAAACCATTACATGTTAACGAGGGTGAATATCTAGAATCAGCATTTCTCCTGAAGCGAAAGTGCTACACTTGATTTTACCGTCAACATGTGCATTTAGGAAGCATATTACCAGACTTCTTATTTACCGTTTCTTATGTCTCCCACTGGCCATTGTTGCCTTTCATGTTTTTAATATTTTTCTTCATCTGAGAGCGACTCTCAAATCCGCAGGTTGTGATGCACAAACTCAGTGGAAGCAGTTTTTCTCATCCGGTAGGAGTATTCAACCGTCATGCCGAATGATCTACTCTCTCATAGGGAAGGGAATGAACTGCCCATATGGTAAAACTAAGAGACCTTAATACACAACCACTGTTCGCTCCGTCCTTAGATGCTACAACGAAACACGACACAATCTCTAACTCATGACTTCTGTTCCAGACGTAAATTTTACGCCGCCCTGGTACCGACGTAGCAACTTGAAGTGGAAGAAGTAAGAATAAGGAAGAGTTATTTTGCCACATTTTTGGTGCTTTAACTGTTTTCGGTTAGTTTGTTCTTCCACAAGACACGGCAGAGCAGCATATACGCATCTGTGCCTCTAATGTCTCTTCTGAGTTGTCTTTCAGTGTCACCCAAAACATTTGTGATTTCTTAAGCAGAAACTAGGGAAGGCTGGAAGCATCAACTAGACACCGGCTCCCAATGGGCTGCGGTTTTCATACACCGCCCCGCTGCTTTGCGGGTCAGGCTTTAACTAACCGAAGGCTCCGGTTGAGTTCCTCAAGAAAATTCACCTACCTTGGCCTGGGCAACCTGGCAGTATTCAGCCCACAAGCCAATCATGGAACACTTTTCTTTTTTATAACGATTATTGTACCATGATTTGCCTGGCGCAGTCTGTCCTTAGACAAGTGATATATATATATATATATATATATATCAACTAGAGCCAAATCGTAGTCGTTTCTGTTAACTGTTGAAAGGGTAACCGCAAGACAACCGGAACATAGTAGGCAGTGCGGATCGGTCACCTCGTTTGGACGGTGATTGCCAGCACCCAACGCGACACTAAACCTCGTAATTACTCCCCCCCAAGTTCCCACTAGATTCAGTCAATGCTTCAGGTACATCAATGGATGGGTACAAATAACTTTTTTTCCAGTAAAGGTGTGTTTAGCTTCATATCTTTGTTTATATTTTGCTCCAAGCTTGTTTATACATTCCGTAAGACGCTAAAACACTTACTGCGATCTGGCTTTTTTTTAACTTAGAACGACGCCTGGTGGTACCTTATTCAGTACGACACCTGGAGGAACTCGTATCATCTATGATCGAGATTTCATGCTTCAGTGCCGTAATTCACCGCTCTCACGAACTCCTCCGGCAGAGCTAGAAAAGATGCTCAAAGCTGTGAGCAATCCGGAATCGAATCATTCACAGCAAGCTGCGCATACACAAGTCACAGAAACTCCTGAACCAAACGGACCGTCCAAAGGTAACCACCATCACCACCATTGTGTTAATTTGATTATCACCACCGTAAGCAGCCAGTTCGTTGATGCAAACAAATTGGTGTTCAAACGGTGGCACATCAATCGATCACTTTTTTCCAATGTATCATACACTGTCATTCGTAAAATAATGTGCGGTGTATAGATAGTGTAATCTATAAGATATAGTCCTTCCTTATCCAACTAAAAGCTTTTTAAATGAGATGGAAGAAACTAAGAACTAAGTTTGTTTATTGCTCAATTATTCTATTGTGATATCGACCAGTAATCGATCTTGCTGGAATTAGCTTAACTACCTCATTTCGGATCATCAAGGGGGTGCAGATCGAAGGGATTCGCCGTATTTTTCCATCATTTTTTGACGTACTCGTCAAATCATCCATCGATCCCTAATTAAGGCATATGTGCAATATTCACTCATTATTCTTGCAACCCCGGTCTATATGAATTCGCTATGTGCCCCTTGAATTTGTTCTCGATATTCCAATCTTCTACCTGTTTTTTTATTTGAGCGGGCGGCCAAAAAACAGCAACAAAAACCGGTGTGCATGATGAATTGTTGTTAAAACTGGAACTGAAGCTGAGACTTCGGTATACACAGCAACAGTCAGTATGACAGTTGATTGAGATATGGGTGCCTAATTTCCTAGCCAGAGGTATTTCGCACTCCAAGCAACAACTAAATTTCGCCGAATGGTCCCATCGTCCAATTCTCCATCACAAACTACGAGGTGGTCAAGTCTGCAGCTGTTCCATGAAGATGATTAATTTGTGCGAACAATGACTTGACAAAGTATGATCAACTTAACATGGTTACTGGAAGACGGAGTTGCAAAAGATGATCAACAGCAGAAAACGGTTAGACACTTTAATGATATCTGAATGCTGTAAACACGGGGTTTTGTTATCCTGCTAGATCAGTAGAAAAATAAATTTCCAAGCATCGTTTGATTTCATTCGAGTCATATACATACGTGTTGAGAGGCATATATATAACTCGTTAGTTCTTATTTTCAACACCTAACCAATTACAAAGGACTGGTTAATGTGCCACAACAAGAAAAAAAGAAACCTGAAGAATGTGTTCATAGATTGTGTGGGCATGTTACTTCCCGGTAGCCCTGGCCGAGGAAGGGAGATAACCTCGAGGTCTCCACTCGAAGCCTTTGGCTAGAAAGCCAAACCTGCAAGATAACAGGACGGAGCTTAGAGTCCGCAGTTCATTGGGGATCGGTGTCCAGTTCACTAGATCATACGCCCTTTGGTCGGGGTCAAACGTCCAAGGTGCCCAGTACACCTCGATGGTCAACCGAGCCGGTGACCACTCCCATAATCGAAAAGGTGTAGGTGTGGTTCGTACGCCTCTTCTTGGTTGGTTTGGAACCGGGTTTTTTGGCCAACTCCCTTAGATGAAGTACCAATGGTTCACATATCCGGTTATAGCCCCGAATGTCGGCTTTTTGTCCTCATTTTGATGGGAAAACACCGCCATGAGAAGGCAGTGAGTGGGACTTCCTCAGCAGAAGCTATTTGATACGCTTGGTCATATAGGAGTATTTCGCGAGGTGTACGATGTAAGGGAATGATGACCAGTCACAATCCCAGATACCCACCCCGACCATACTGAGGCTTTCGGAGACTTTTGGTAAAGCCCTTAGGCCCACATTCCGAACCTGACCTAATATATGTTTGCGACAAACAAACCGCAAAACAATAATCGTATTAGTCAAAAATCCATGATTTGTTCCAAACCAAAACAACTCAATTTTCTTGAGGAATTCACAACCGGGGCCTTCACCTAACCTGAAAGATAGCGGGCGGTGTGTGGGATCCGAAACCATTTGAGGGCCGGTATTGAGTTCATCGGACTAAACGCCCATCGGACGCGGTCAAACGTCCAAGATACCCGGAGCCGGTGGCCACTACCACAAACGGGAGGGTGTGTGTGTGCGGTTCGTACTCCTCTTGGTTAGTTTCGAATCAGGGATTTCAACCAACTCCTTTGGGTGAAATATATGAACCGGGATGCTCGAAATTACATCCGAATGCTTACACCTCAGTTATTCTCAAAGTGTTTGCGACACTAGCTAAAACAAATTACTCAATCAGTCTAAGTATTCTCATTTGTGAAGACTCTGGACTCCCTTGCTCCCTTCCAAAATTATTTTATTCTCGCCCGATGAGAAAAGTACAGCTGCATTCAACACTTGATTGGGAAATATTGCCCAGCACCGTGTCCTCTGCCCATGTTCAACTACTGGTCAATGATTTTACCAGCTTGCATATAACCAGCGACCAGTGTTTTTTCTGCTCTTTTCCCGTTGTCTTACATCCAAAGCTATTTACCTATCCTTCATGCCTGTTTCGTGTTTTTTAATTTTTATTCTTCGCCTAGAAATATTTGACTTTCCCTACCATAACATCCTGTCAGGCTGCTGTACAGCTTGACATGACAGAGATTGTAGGTTGGTCTCTAAATCGCCGCCTTGAAATGAAATCTGAAAAATGCATTAGCATCATTCCTCCCTTTTGATAAGCTCTAAATACCATGACTCATTATTGCTATCCTCGTTGTTATTAAGCCGGTCCCCTCTTATACATTTTTCATAATCCGTTGAACCAATCACCATCTGTCAGTTGAAGTAGTGTATCCTTTCTCCATAATTCCAACTGGTCCGATAATTTCGTACGTGTTCCAGGTGGTCAAAAAGGCGTTTTGGTCTAGGCCATGTTTTATCTCCATTCATTTCACAATAACCTTGAACTCATCCTCAGATAAATGAAGTTATATATACATACTGTATATATGGCAGCATTCCTCTTGAGTGCTTTGGACAACATTTTTTGGCTCAGCAGTGCAGGGATTGTAAGACCTCTGTGANGGTTTGTTCCGACCGTTTTCATTCCCTCATCCACTCGTTCTTGTTGTAAACGTGCATGCAACACGGTTTCAGTCATTTCTTGGCTATTTCTTTTACCAACCCGGGTTTCTTTGCGTCCGATCTGGGTACGCGGTTATGTTATACAAATTTCTGTTTGTCTCACTATCTTCAGTTTTCAGTGGCTCCTAGTTCAATGTTTAGTGTTTATATGATTGCTGCACATTCGCCCGTCGAGACATAACGTGATTGTTCAACTTCACTTGTATATGATACAAATAGCGAACTAACCGAAGAATGTATAACGAAACTCACTCATGTACTTTGATTTTTTCGTTCAGATAAGACATTTTCCTGTAGCCACATAACATTTTTTTAGGTACCAGAGTCCGTGTAGTGTAAATATCCACATTTCCAAGGCTCGAGCAGCTTACGCAGGATTGAAGCACCTTTGGTGTAGACGCAATGTGTCGCTGAAACTGAAAGGTTGTGTATACTGCACCAGTGTGTGGCTAGTTCTGCTCTGTGGTTGAGAAATCCTAAATTTGTGCATGGAAGATATTCGTCGTCTTGAAGTATTCGATTGCAAATGTTTACGTAGTTTGGCGCGGGTTGGATGGAACGAGCATGAAAGCAACTCTGAGGTGAGGCGTCGCATATTTGGTAATGATTCGATGGAGAATTCGTTGTCCCATCGAATTCAGATTAGTCGGCTTTGCTGTTTAGGATACGTATTGCGCATGTCCAGTCGTCGTCTGCCGCACCACCTTATTCGCAGGTTGGAAGAAATCGCGTGGTGGTCAACAGATGACGTGGAAGCGAGGCATTAAGAAATGCACAGAGCGATTAGGTAAAATCGGTGTCTCCCGTCTTCTAGGTTGGGGTCCGAAAGACTCTGCAACTGGCTGGTTGGAGACAATGAAGGACATGGCAACTAACCGACAGCAGTGGCGTTCTTGTTGTCATTGCTTGACAAAGCAGAATGCTTGAAAAAAGGTATCCATGAACACTTAGATTGTGTACCCTGTGTGTTGTCCATAGATGTTCTTTTTCTTTGCCTCTTTCCAACTAGGCCCAATCCCTCTCCATCGTGTGCTTTATCACTTGATTTATGTACACTGAGCATGGCAGCGGTCAGTGAAGCTCGCTTTACTGTATCTCGCTGTACGATGAGGAAAATGATGTAGTGTAGATTCTATCTTGCCTCTCAGAATGGACGGAAGTTTGGGGCCCACAGACCCGAAGCTGCACATTCTTAAACGGGTTTGCAAAACGAGGTGCGAAAAGGAGAATTGCACCGTCTACACTGCACATTCCTGTGCGTAAATCTACCGCGTTCACCAGATGTGTGATAAATAAATATAGCTGTCAATTGACCAGTTCTGTTCTTTGTGTACTGATTTATCAATAAATGATCACCGCATTTTGTACAGCCCAGTTCATGAACCGTGGAGTTGATCTGCCTATCACTTTTATCGTTTGATTCTCAGGTGATGAGAATCCGTTCGAAATGGATGTGTGATGCGAAGCAACGCGGAAGTATGACAGCGACGACATCCCCTGTACCAGAGAGCACCCACTATTTTTTCGCTCATTCGAAGCGTGCATAATGTCCCTCCCAGCCCTTGTCCAGCAGGCACGCCAATTCCACCGACAAACAATTTGCCCTCGAGCAGTGTTAATAAATGCAATCCATATTGTGTATGATTTTTTTGTTTTTGGGTCGTCTTACCCCTCTTGATTTTGCGATAGATGAGATCAATCACTCGCTGTGGACGCAAATCGCGCATCATATGTGGCCATTGATAAATCATGTGCCCAAGTTTTTGAAGACATGCAAATGTCATCCTGGCCCCGTACATTGTTAGGATTGATGAACGCCGAAAAAACTAGTAGTCATGCTTGAGGATAGTTTACTGAATCTCCCTCGCTCGTCTGTCTTTGTGGAGTAGGTTACATAAAGCGCCAATTCACTGCTTCCTCTGTTCAGGCGTGAGTCTGCCTAATCTTGGTGTGATCTCAATGATTCATGAACGCAGTTGTGTAGTGCTAACAAATTCATTTTCTATATTTTGTGTCTGGCAGCTACATACACATATAATAATGAGCCGTTAGATAGTTGTTAACTCACACTCGAAGTGTGTGTGTGTGCATCGACTCCAATTGACTGGACAATGTAGAGTGATAATATGTCCGAACAATTTTGTGAATTGTTACTACAAAAGTAGGTGCTAATTTAGATGTGAAGTTTCAATGGCAAGTTCTCTTTCTAATGAACGAACTGTGGTGTCTGCAGTCGTTCGTCCGGTTCCTTGCGTTGACGGCGACTCGTTTGCTTCTCGAAACTTCGAGCTAGTGTTTTTTCTGTAGGGTGGAGTGTTAGTGTGCAAGATCAGGTTCGTTAAAAAGACACTGCCAATATTGGATGCCGGAATTCCGAGATGAATTTCGCTCTGGTAGTTTGTGTTGCCTCGAATTCTAGGGTTGCAATTGTCATTTGAGTCGGGCAGAATTCGCTGGCAGTAGTGCAACGGCGAAAAGCTGACACGGTCCGGATTTTCCAAGTATCGCTCGGATCTGGCTGGATTTGTTAGTCGCTTTCGGGCCGAAGCCGCCTAATATGCGCTTTGCATTGTTTTCGTGCTGTCGACACCCCGCTAGCCTGATCTCATTTCGGGAAAATGCAAACCCAACCGAAATGAGTGGCTTCTCACAAAACCACTAACTCAAAATGGAATTGGCTTTCGGGGCTTGCTTGTTTTCAGTGTGTAATGGCTTGTTAGACACCACTAGAATCTTGCTCATGTGTGCGCCTGATCGGTTTGGTTTTTCACTGGGGCATCAGTGTCGGTTCCTTGATATCCAGGGGTGTCCTGCATCAACCTGTGATTAAAGCACTGGAATGTGCACAACTCTCAGAACCGACGCACTTCAACCCTCTCGCTAGGCGAAAGAATTTGGGCATTATATTTATATTTTCACACACGTCTGAAGCCAGACTGTGTACCAAACAAATCATGGTACAATACTTTATAAGAAGGAAAACGTTCCACGATTTGCATGTGGGTGGAATACTGCCAGGTTGCCCAGGCCAAGGCAGGTGAATTTTCTTGGGGAATCCACAATCAGAGCCCTTGGCTAGCCAAAGCATGATCCGCAAGGCAGCGGGGCGGTGTGGGAAGACCGCGATCCATTGGGAACTGGTGTCCAGCTCATCGGATCATACGTCCTTCGGACGGGGTCTAACGTCCAACGTGCTCAATCGAGCCGGCGATCACAATCAGGGAGTCTTGTGTGTGGTACGTACACCTCATGGTTGGTCTGGAATCAGGGTTTGGCCAACCCCCCTAGATGAACTATCAGTGATCCACCAACCAGGATATTGGCAGGAGTTCATGGTCAGCAATACCAAATCTTGAGGAGAATGAGGCTCAGACAACATAACTTGTGAGAATGTCACAATGTTGATACTGCGCGTTTCTATTGCGTGCTTTGCTGTGGTGTCAAATTGTAAGGAAGTTTTTTAATTAACCACGGCATATGGAGAACTTTGTTGAAACAAACTCATGCCTAGTGACGTCGAGACCGAACTTGCCGTTTAGGCTTGATCCGAGAGAGCAAGAATAAGTATTAAAAGTGGGCAACGTGCGTCCGCAAAATCAGTAGAAACGACCCCTTGTGTTACGGCTTTAGTGGTTACCATTGTACACACCACCTTGGAATTAGGTCTCCTTTTTGTAACAGGTGGCTGCGTCCTTGAAATTATAACTTGTGTGGTTGTTGGTCTACATAGGCCAAACAGTTTTTCGGGGTCTTCACTCTCGCTTATCTGACCATTACACTTTGATGGTCTTCGATNTCAGCCAACAAATGCATTCTGGTATCCCAGATGAGCGTGCACGTTTCAACAACGTCCTGCAATCCCAGAATGAGAGGTTGGGATTAGACCGTCATGCTCGGGGTGGCAGTGATCACGTGGTTCGGAGGTCGAATCTCGCCACCTCAGTCTGTGTCCACGGGCAGCTCCAGAATGGTTGAACCCCCCCATGAAAGTTGTGGACTTCGATAATCACAAAATAGAAACCAAAATTTTGTTTGTCCTATGAGAAAAGGGTCGAACCGATCCTTAAAAGTCGCGGTAGGGGTGGGATGCTTTGTTGTCGAGTTGTTGAGTTTTGCTTACTCTAATAGGATATTCCGTTTGCTTTTCTCAGCTCAGCTATGCTGTCAAATGGCTAACGCACCAGCATACCAAAGGGTCTGTTATCTCTAAATGTGACCAAACTGTCTTGTGACCAGTAAAATGCTCAAGAAGAACAACGAAAGGTACATGCGTTTATCGCCATGATGCTCATGGTCTTTCATATGCATAAAAGTAGGTTACCTTATTGAAGAATGACGAACAAGTTGTAATTTCAGCTCAGAAAGTGATTGCTCTTAGTCGGGGTGCTGTATCATACACCTGAATGAGCAGAACTAATCGTTGTATGGAAACAATCGATCGCGCCCTATACGTTGTGAAATTATTTCTGCAAAGGCATATTGGGATTATAATCATAATAAAATTTCAATTCCATTGTACAACTGCGTGTGTGCAGTTCATGTTAGTTTAGTTGGTGAGTGTGGAGTTCTTTGCTTTACCTGAAAATTCCAAGGTAGCTGTTGATACCTTTGGTGCATCAAAGACAATCGCTACGTTATCCGAAGAGAACCCGTGGACGTGCATAGTTCGTAGTGATTTTACCGACTGCCATTGGCTAGCAATTACTAATTTTTGTTGCTGATTAAAATATATGAAAGCCCAAAATTTTTCGGTCTTGTATTTCAGGAATCAAAAAATAGCGGTCTGAGATACATGAAGTCACGAGTGTTGCGATTGGTTTGCTGAGAGAACTCAAATGGATTTAAATGATGCGTATAAGGAAGGATGTGGTTTTAAGCGTACTACCCGATCATTCGAGTTCGTAGTGGTAAAACACTCTTGATCGTGGCTTATGCGATCTGGTTGCCGGATTCTCACTGCCCGTCAGGAAGCTTTGACAGGTGATTTACTGGCTGGCATTGTCTCGCTCCATCCCGTTTTCTTGGCTAATGTTCCTCAACGAGTGAATCGCTAGAACAGCGTGGCTGTCCATGAAATAAGTTATTCACAGGTAGGTCTTGAATTAAAGTATGTCCACGAGGATTCGTACAGTTTTAAAGCTTCAACTATGACATAAAGCAATCGGTCCCAAAATACTCCTAATATCCCAAAAGTTGAAAAAAAAATTGCCACATCGAGAGCCATTGACAATGGGCAAGTCACATCGACTTCATCGGACCATCAACAACTACCACGTGATCATTCCTCAAACGGTCAGAATAAGTACCGACTAGCTCACCATAATTCGTAGATGCTTTTTGCCCCAAGTGGCCGGCCAGACAGATCACAAGTCATATCAGCGCGGTTCCGAAGTTTCTGTACTCCGCAAGGGGCGATTATCTGTGAAGCATCCATAATTCAAGAACAGAGCAGAAAATTCGGTGAACTCATTCAAACATGTCCTTCAAAAGTCAAACATAGATTAGACCAACGACAAGACCTTCAATTATTGTATTATAGATGACTTATGCAAGTAACTATGTCTACATTTCATCCAAAAATGTGTTCACCGTTACAATGGGATAGAAAAATGGATTCAAAATTCGTGTACAACAATGACAAAACTAAATGGTGTTCATCTTTGTAGATTTAAGATTAGTTCTTTGCGGATCCTCGCCGTGTCAGTGAGAATACGAGCCAGATAGAGAACCGTTGAGTTGCGATAAATGTTTATGCGAGAGGACAAGCAGCGAAAATTGGATCGGGTTGTAGTGCGGGAACGGCAAGCAAACAAAACGGGATTGAGCGGATGACTGGGGTCATTGGGTATCTTATGAGCGAAATTCTCACATGAAGTGATATGCAAACTACACAATTTTGTGGTCAGAGTGTTTAAAGGAATAAGAGAAACACGGCTGATAATTACCAGACCTCGACGTAGATTAGTGAAATCCTTTTTAAGTAGTCCAGGGAAAATAACGAGTGAACAATAAAGTATGACTGGAAAAATACATTGATAAACAAAGGAATATACAGTTTCATGTTTGACGCAGAATTGACGAAACTTGAGTATTTAAAAAGATAAGCGACACAGTCTACCAACACAAGCAAGCACATGAGAGGACCACCGTAGATTGCTATCTATGGTGACTCCTAGGTATTTGGTGGTATGTATTCTGGTGACGGGTACGGAGTTGATAACTGAGGGTTTCGAAGGATAATCAGATCGGGAAAGACTAAATATGCATTCAAAGGATTTAGAAGTATTCAACCAGAGACCGGATTGATTCGAGAATGATTTTACTTGTAGCAAACTGTCGGAAGATGATTCTATGTCCCATTGGTTTGAAATAGCTTGACATCATCTGCATACTTGAAGTTCTTGGCTGGTAGGATTGAGGGTAAGTCAGTGATGAAAGTTGAGAATAACAAGGGAGAGA